CACACACACACACACACACACACACACACACACACACACACACACACACACACACACACACACACACACACACAAACACACAAACACACACAAACACGCACACACACAAGTGCAAACATCCAGACTTATCTCTGTCTCACCCTCACCTGTGCACCTGCAGCTTTTCCACACCCAAAGAATTATAATTTGCTCCTCACACTCACCCGTTTTACTTTTTCACTCGTTCACTTATTTAGTTGTTCTCTCCCCCACTCACTCTATCATCCACTCACCCACTTAATCTCTCCACTCTGTCGTATCGAGTTACGGGTCAATAAGCCAGACTGCAGATAGGCATGCCTCTGGTGGAGCCAGAGTCTAAATCAATCAATGGTGTTCAGGTTTTGTAGAATACCAGAAGCTAACTGTACTGCACAGGATGCACATATGACTAAACCAGGTCGCTAAAGAGCATCATGAGATAGTTTGGATATAGATGCATTTAATTTGAAATAATGCAGTAGGTGTAATGAGCTTTAGTAAAAATCAGTATTTAAAAAACATCCTCTCTTCAATAGGTTTTTAATAATGATTATTTATTTTAAGGTAAGTGTGGCAGCACAGCGTTATTTATTTTTTCAGACACTATAGAGTTCATTTCTGAAAATCTATTTTCATTTTTAAAACAGACCAAGGGTGAATTTAACTACTTGGCAATCACTACAAAAATAATGGAGAGTGGATTCTTTATTTTTCTTTCTTTAGAAACTGATAATATGTTACATTTATAATATTACATTTACACATGATGCTCGTAACAAGAGTAGAAATGGTGTTGATCCATTTGGAAAACAAGTGCAGTTTCCAACGCAAAGCTTGCACTCACCAGTCAACCTCTTAGAGACCACTTCTAGCTCCTAGAGCCACATCTGCCCTGATGCAAGTCAATGAAGTCAATCAATAACCCAATCCCCCTGTAGCTCTCTCAGTCTGTCACTCTATCTAAGATCTGCTTTTCTCTTCTCAGGCTTCTTCTGTCTTTATTTATTCTTCTGTCTTATTCCTTTATGCCTCCACTTTTTCTCACTTTTCTAAGGATCTGTATTTTAAGTCTTCCTCTCTAATTTGATTCTACTCCTCAACAAGTTACCTCCCCCTTCCCCCTTCCCCCCAAGCACCTCCCTATCCCTGATCCCCATCTCCTTTTGTGGTACTAACATTTTCTTCTTCTTCTCCTTCTCTAATCTCGTGCATTCATTGCCCACTCAGGTGGCACGCCCATACGAGGTAAGACTGCTGGGAGGACCAACATTTCACAGTGGCCTGACTCCTCTTTCAACCTCTGCCTCCTACTTATCTCGCAGATCTGAAAAGCAGTTCTCGATGGGTTTATTAATTCAGGGGGTTTAAGACCTGCGCTGTACTGATAACACTCATCCAGCAGCTTCAGATGTGCTGGAGGTGCAAGAGGAGGAATTGGAGTTCAGAAAAAAAAATCATTATACTTTAACATTCGCCAAACTTCTTCTCATCTTTCACCCTTCTGTTTTTTCATCTCAACATTTATTCTATAAAACAAGTGTCCATTGCCTCATATATCATACTATGATTTTTTTTCTGTTTGTTGGTTTGAAACCCCTTGCCATTCTGACCACCCACCTGCAGGCGATCAGCTGTTTTGTTTGTTTTTACAAAACTATGGCTGTGTCCAAAACGGCAGGACGGGTCCTCCGAAGGTCGAATTTGTCGGCCGCATACGTCACAGCGCCGCGACGAAGGACGTCCAAAAC